CAATGTCTACACTTGGTAGCAACAAAATAAATGACTATTGAATTAAATTCATTGTGTGGAAAGGAAAGGAGGTCCTAGAAAACTGAGAAGGATGATAGAACTGTTGTTTTGGTGAAATCTATCTTGTCCTTGTGTACAAATTGGGGAGAGACTGGAGATAGAGAAATTAGCTTGGCTATTGCTGTACTAGTCCAGCTTGACAACCCAGCCATCCCTCGACTTGAACTTAAGCCTATGAAAAGGGAACAGAAGAGACAGGAAATTTAAAAATACGTGGTAAAGAAAGGAAATACTAGCTTAGCTGTCACATTTTAAAATGGACATTATAAGTTTTCAATACATATTCGTTGAATGAATGAAGTAAATATTAAAAAAGCACTCATCAACAGCATAAAGCATGTTCAGAGCATTTAACTACAGTGCTTTGAAGTAACTCTAAGATCAACACAATTATACCGTCATTTGCCAGAAGTGCATTTGCTAAGGAGGAAAAAGGAAGGCACTGCCTTAAACTTTCTTAGAAGCATGTCCCATAAAAAAACAAAGAAGAGCCATCCCAATGTGTATAAAGTAGATAACGAACAAGAATCTGCTGTATAAAAAATAAATTAAAAAAAAAAAAAGAAGAGCCATCCCAGTCACACTCTCACAGACTATACTGAACCAATCAATGTTATATTCATATTCAAATTACCTTCTAAGGGCTCTGCAGAGTCCTGTAAGCTCCAAGGAGGCTCCTTAAAAGCGGGTGAGGGGGCACTGCAGTGGAAGTGGAATTTGAGAAGGCGGGGATGACCAGGAATGGCTGTGGGCCTACACTTCTAGCTCTTTTATAAATTTAGTTTCTCTGTAAGATTTTCTTTGAATAAAAATGTCCACAGATAAATTTTTTAAAATTCTGAATGTACAGAATATATGCCCCATAGAATTCTGGCAGTTACAAAACTATTTGTATGGGATTCAAATGATATTTCACCATACACAGCTGTTATATCTCCTTGCATAATATATTTTAAGTCGTTTCTAAGACTTTATTGCTAAGTCTGGTTGGTTCCTTCAATATCCATATAACAAACACCTAAGGTCTCCAAATCATTTCTACCGGCCTTGTGAATATGGAGATAAATGAAACATGGCTCTGCACTCTAATATTAGACTGATTTAACAGTAAACTCTATGACATCAAGCAGAAGTGAATAGAAAAAGCTGCCTAAAAGGGCTCCTTACAAAGATAACAGTGACAAAAAAGGTTGAGAAACACTGATGCATATGTTTTGCCACATGTTTTTAAAAAGCTGGTAGTCTCAATATCTTATAATCATACTTTGTGTAATAGTACTGACACAAATTTCATTTTATACTTTGAATGTGAATATGCTTCTGACTTAAAATTTTGAAATATATAAAGAAATGATATGAGATAAAGATCTACTTGTGAGGTTTTGTTTAGTGCTAATCTCAATATTTACTTTTTTAATGAAAAGATTTGCAGATTAATTTATATATCTTTTCTTTATCTCCATAAGGTAATCTTAAATTTGATTCTGCTTTCTGAGTCATGGACTCATAATTTCTAATCATGTTGTTTATGTCTAAAGTGTACAGCAATCACTGGTATAACAAAAGAAAAACTCCATTTACCTCTCCTAAAACTTAACACTCAGGTTGGCCCAGCTGTGTCAGTCTATGTTATTTTTTATTAAAAACCCTTTGTAGAAAATGGGGCAGTAATGGTTAGTCTTGAACTCCACACAGACCTGGACAATGAGGAGTTACCTGAACATCAACTCAGTATTCAGGTCAGGTTACGATTAACCTGAACTTCTCCTTTCTTCTCAGCCCTCTGCTCAAGAGTCAGAAACCAAAAACAAGCTTAGGACCAAGCTGTGTGTAAAGGAATCAGGAAATGACCCCATTTTCAACTGTACTGGGTTACCCATTTAAAATAGGTATGTATCACACCTTGCTCCTGGTCATGAAACTAAGCATAAAATATGGGTAAGAACTGAATAGTTTCTTTCCACTTTTAAATAACTTTTAAAAAGCTGTTACTATATCCAGAATGTTAACATTTTCACTGCACTGAAAGACTACTTTTGGACATCTCCTATAAAGAAGAGGCCGCATTAGCTAGCTACACTGCTGGAGCTGTCTGGAGACATTCACAATTGGGAGGAGTTAAGCTTTAACAGCAGAGTCTGGGAGAAACAAGTCACACCAAAAAAAAATGCAGACATACTAAAAAAGGAAAAACCTTCTAGACCCAGCTGAGACTGATCTGACAGGGTAAACTTAAAAACAGTTCTGGGAAAAAAAAAAAAAAAAAAAAACAGTTCTGGGATGGAAAGAGGGGTGGATAAACACATAGATATGTGATAAAGTATTACATTAGTTGCAGGCTTCTAAGTGATGGGCATAATGGTGTTCAATGCACTATTCCTTCAACTTTTTTGTGTATTTGAAATCTCTCATAATACAATTTAAAAGCAGTTTTGAATGGCAGGCATTCTGAAGGAGAAAAATCAGTTTCTAAGGTTGTATCTAATAAACTACTGTCCAGAGTTGGAATGAAGGGCTCAAAAACCCTCTAGCTCTCTAATGAAATGGCAAGCACTGATATAAAGCTGCCAACTCCGTTTTTAAACGCCAAAGTTATAGGAGGTTGATCCAAGAAAGCAGAAGGCTAAAAAGTCAGGGCGTTCACAAATATTTGAGACGGTCAAACTTTAGCAGAACAATTAACAAAAATAAAGTATCCAGGGCTTCCCTGGTGGCGCAGTGGTTGAGAGTCCGCCTGCCGATGCAGGGGACACGGGTTTGTGCCCCGGTCCAGGAAGATCCCACATGCCGCGGGGCGGCTAGGCCCGTGAGCCATGGCCGCTGAGCCTGCGCATCCGGAGCCTGTGCTCCGCAACGGGAGAGGCCACAACAGTGAGAGGCCCGTGTCCCGGGGGGGAAAAAAAAAAAACTTACAAAAATAAAGTATCCAGGTATCTATTTTGTCTTGCTAAATTAAGTTCTTTCACCTTGCTTCAACTTACATCTTCTCTATTAGCTGGCAGGTAGGTATGTGTAGCTCTGAAGAAACTGATTCATAATTTACACTGAAATAGTACTATATGTATATCTATATAAGAAAGAAAGAGAGAGAACGTTTAAATAGTGTAGGCTATTTTGCCCTCCATTGTACTTCCTGTTTGCACACCCAGAGTGAGCAGACAGGCTGCATGAGTGAAACTGGTCATTTAGCCTACAGTGTGAGCATCCTGGCAGGCTGAGCGTGATTCTAGTATATACAAGCGTGCATCTTCTTATCACAAACTAACCACAAGCCGACTGTGTCTTCCAGAACTCAGCCTCAATGACTGACATGTTCCAATGCTGGAAAAATAGTTCGTAAAGTCTCTAATTCTTCCTTAGGCATTTTTCAAGGCTAATTTTGACTATCGGTAATTTTTGCATTACATTCTAACTTCAGAACCTCACCCCACATAAGATGCAACTACACTGTACTCTATTCATCTGAAGTATGAGGAGCTCTGGATTGGTATCAGGAACTGCAGATTCTAATCCCAGCTCTACTGCTAATTAGCTGTGTGATCTTGGGCAAGTAACTAACTTCCGAGTCTCAATTCCCTCAACTGTAAAATAAGACAGTTGATTCAGATGGTCTCTTAAGTTCCCTGAACACTTTTAACCATCTATGAGTCCATGAATATTTTTTTCATAATTTGTTAGCTATATGTTTAGCTAGTGCCATTTACCTAAAAAGCAGTTCGTTATCTAATGATGAATAATACAAATTGGCAATCAGCAGCTCAGAGAATTAGCAAGGCTATTCAGTACTAATACACTGTGAAGTCTGATAACTTTCTTTTCCAGAAAGTAAAAAGACTGAAAATTTTCACTTTAAGACCTCTATTTTCCCAATATTGAAAAAACATTCAGCAACCGAATCATTATACACCAATACTGGAAGCAGATGGGACTAAAGTCAGTTGTTCTAAAATGCAATTTTAACCCTGTATTCTTCAAGGTGGTTTAAAATGAAATAATCTATTATGTCAATAATGCAAATATAGGAAAAGGATACAAAGAATTGTTTGCTCTGACTAAAATGTTTAAAATTCACTATTTCGAGCTTAAGAGCATTATGTAAAAGATAGTTTTGTTTCTTTTACCACCTCTATATTTTACAAACACACACAAAAAAATCTGCCCTCATTCCTGCACTTTGCTGCAGTGGTTTGCAAATGTGACTGCATATTAGTATTATCCAGGAAGCTTAAAGAATTTTTTTTAAAGTCTGATGAGCAGTCCTCCCAAAAACAATTGGATCAGACTCTCTGGAGGTGGACCCACAAGCATTAAAATTTTGGAAAAAATCTCTAGATGATTCTAATGTGCAGTCAGACTTCAGCCCCCAAATATCACATATGGGAAAGGAAGTTGGGGAGGGGACTTTTCTGTTCTTGTTGTTGAAATGATGGGTAGGCTCAAGCAAATACAAAGGTTTAAGTTTTGTCTTCACCAAAGAAATATAAAAATTAAAAATCCAATGATCTTTGGATTAAAATATAAACATTTTTTGCATTTTTTAAAAATAAAAATGTTTTAGACTCCAAATAGCTTTCATTCAATATATTAAAACATACAGATGTATTTATATCTATTTAGTGAAATAGCTACCTAAATACAAGAGCTTTCTACTGAATTCACTTTTCTAAGTTTTCTCAAATTACATGGTATATAGACAGATGCTCAATCTTTGCATTCCTTAAAAGTTGACAGTATACACATTTTAGAAATCGGTATCATTTAGTGCATCAAGAATATAAAATGTCTTTATTTTATCTGCTGTGGCATCATATATTATTGATTCTTGTGTTTTCAATTATAATTTCACTGCTAATAAAAGCAGATAAGATAGCAATAGCAGGAATCATTCGTAAGTAAATGAAAACATACTGAAATTTAAGAAAAGACACCTTTAGAGTCACCTTGGAATGCTGAGTAGGTAGTCTAAGGTGACACTAAGCTCATCCATATTTGTCTGTTCCAGGCATAAAGGAATTGTCAGAATGAGGCCACTTCGTCTGTCCTTTCCTCCTATTAAAGAAAAAAATATATAAATTTAACATGTAAGAGATATTAAAGCACTAAATGAATTAAATATATTTGCATCCAATGTTACTACAAGAATTACAAGTTTAAGGCATCAGTAAAAAACAATCTAATGGCTGTTTTATATATTGTAAATGTTTATAGTAGTACAGCAAAATTATACAAAATTTAGAAAAAATAAGAGGAAAAAAATTCACCAATGAAATATTCACTTAAACATAGCAATTCTCATTTTGTTTAATTTCTTCCATTTAGTCTGCTTCTGATTGTAATCAATTCATCAAACACCTATTGTGTGCCTAGCACAGTAAGCATTTGCAAGTAAAATAACAAATTTCTTATCAACCTAGGAAGAAAAACTTTGTCATAAGAAATAACAGTATGGGGCTTCCCTGGTGGCGCAGTGGTTGAGACTCCGCCTGCCGATGCAGGGGACACGGGTTCGTGCCCCGGTCCGGGAAGATCCCACATGCCGCGGAGCGGCTGGGCCTGTGAGCCGTGGCCACTGAGCTTGCGTGCCGGAGCCTGTGCTCCACAACGGGTAGAGACCACGACAGTGAGAAGCCCGCATACCGCCAAAAAAAAAAAAAAAAAAAAAAAAAAAAAAAAAAAAAAAAAAAAAAAAAAAAAAAAAAAGAAATAACAGTATGAAATGTGACAGATAATTTGCTAGGCTGTGTTGTACAAAATATATAAAATATTATAAAAAGGGATTTAGAAAATGGAGAAAATGATAAGAGCTGTAATAAATGTAAAAAACTTCATAGAAAAGTTAAAACTTAAGAAAAATGAATAGAATTTATAAACCAAGTCAAAAGAGCATTCCGTGATGAGGAATGATCTGAGTTAAATCACAAAGGTCAGACAGGCATTCTTTGTTTGTGAGGCAATAAAGGGAAAGCCCTGTCCAACTGAGAAGAGTGCACGGGACCTGGATATATAAGTCTGAAAGCCAGGAAGTGGAACGCACTTACATTTCATGGATGTTCAAGTTCTCTTCGATTTTCCATAAGCATTAAAATATAACTAGTACTTTTATACACACACAGCTTCTTTGAAAGCTCCCCACATGATTGATTTTCACACTGAAGTCCATCTTTTGACCCAACCAACATTTATGGCAATTTTATAAACTTAAAAGCCAGCAAACACTAAAGCAAACAATTTTATATGATCTTTATCACTAAAAACTTAAAGGACTGAATTGAAAAAAAAAGATTCCTATGAATAACATGGATGCAATTCACAAGGTACCAACCATAAATGATCTTTTATCAGATTAACCATGTAAATTACTGATAGTCAACCACTTTGTTTAATCTCAATAAATGGCAATTTCAAATGGTTCAACTTAATCGATAATCAAGTGACTTCAACTGCAAATGTTGTTTTGTTTAGAATACAGGTGTTTGTTTTTTTTTAATAGACTGCAACCATGGTTTTCAAACTGTATCCCCTGAATGATTTTGTTGGTTTGAGCAGTTTTTCTCTATTATTAAAAAAGTTTGAAAATTACTGGTTGAAATAATTAACGGTCAAGAGCAAGTCAAGAGGAATTGGGTTCAGAGAAGTCTCATTTTCTCCTCAAAAATCGCTAAGCCCTGCATTAAACCAAACTGCAAAAAGGTTCATATCTGAACTGCAGCACTCTGACCCACTGTGAAATTGTCTGCAGAGCACAGGTCTAACATACAGGATTACATTTAACCTCATGCCCTCAGCTTTCACTAAGGGACAATAAAATAATCACCAGTGCAGATGCAAAAGAAGGCAGATGTCAAGAAGAAAAAGGCTTTCAAGATAGGTATGGTCACCAGGGTCAAATGCTGCACAGAGACAAGTAAAATAAGAATGCAAAAATGTCACTGATAAAGATTTTTTTTAAATAGTAATAAATAGTAATATCCACTCTTGGCAACAGTATGGGCAAACTGGGTTTTTTTTTTAAATCAAAGTATAGTTTATTTACAGTGCTTCAGATGTACAGCAAAGTGATTCAGTTATACACATACATATGTATCTATTCTCTTTCAGATTCTTTTCCATTATAGGTTATTACAAAATATCGAATATATAGCTCCCTGTGCTATACAGTAGGTCCTTGTTGTTTGTATATTTCATATTTAGTAGTGTTTATCTGTTAATTCTAAATTCCAAATTTATCCCTCCCCTCTTTCCCCCTTTGTGGGTCTATTTCTGTTTTCAAACATGCATTTTCATACACTGGTGAGAGAAACAACAACTGACACAATATTTTTATAGGGCAATCTGACAAAACCTTTAAATGTAAATGTAAATTCTCTTTAATACTTCCAGTTGTAGGAATTTATACTGCTGGACTTGTACAAAATGCACAAACTGTGAATAAGAACGTTTCCTACAATACCATTCATACCATAAAAAAATAGAGAGAAAACTAAGTGTCAACTGGTAAGGGAAGAAGTTTTTTTAAAAAAGAAAACACATATTAAATAAAGAACTAATATTACTGGTGCAATTCAATATCTTATTTTCTCCTTCATAATGTACACTAGAAAAACATGCCAATTTACAGAGAGATACAATATACACTGAAAAGGACATTAGCAGCCTAAATATCAAGACAATTCTGATAGGACCTAAAAATAAGAAGAGAGAAAAAGCAAGATAATACAACTTAAATAATCTTCAATAGGTGGGTCACAGTACCTATTCTAAAGCATGTGCAAATTTACTCAATGGTCCAAAATTCCAGAAAATTGCTACACCCAGCATCACCACTGCTTTCACACTAGCAACAAATCTCAAAGCTTCTCTTTGACTCTTCTTAGTCAATGCAGACTTTGGGTTAATAATGGAAGGTAAATTCAAGCCTTATAACCAAATTCGAGCAGTAAAAAGTGAAAACCATGTAATTTATATTTCATAACTCCCCCCTCATAGGAAGATGGAAGACAAAAGCTAGGATGGGATAACACAAAAATGAATTACTCTATACTTCAGAAACAATACTTTAGATGCTGGTTAGTCAATTATTCTCAGCCTGTATTAAGTATTTCATTTTTATGTGAGAAGTGAGATGTCATGACATCTACCTTGTAGAGATCACTTAATCAAATTACAGAACAGAATAAAAACTGGCTGCCAAGCACCAACAGTGACAGAGTTGGCTTGCACCGCTATCCATTCTGAGTAAAAGGTATCTCAGAAATACCTTTAAAACAAAACCTTCAGAGAAAAATGAAATGCCTTTCTGCCAAACTTATCAAAGAAAAAAAGATTAAACAAATTTATACATCAAACACATCCAATTTTAAGAAGAAAACATACCTGAAAGGAAGGCTAGTTTTTTCTTCAGAATGGGTAATATTACTGAGGCCTCCATTTTATTCCAGTAAACTTCCTCCAGTAAATTTTCCTTTCTGAAAACACAGAAAGTTAAATGTCAACTACAAGATAATAATTACTCTATGAAATATATACAGGCATACCTCGTTTTATTATACTTCACTATATTGTGTTGTTTACAAATTGAAGGCTTGTGGCAACCCTGCATTGAGCAAGCCTACTGCTCATTTTTCCACCAGCATTTGCTCATTTCGTGTTTCTGCGTCACATTTTGGTAATTCTTGCAATATTTCAAACTTTCTATTATTATATTTGTTATGGTGGTCTGTGATCAGTGATCCTTGATGTTACCACTGCAAAAAGGTTACAACCCACTGAAGGCTCAGATGATGGTTAGCATTTTTTAGCAATAAAATATTTTTAATTAAGGTATGTACATTGTTTTTTTAGACATAATGTTACTGCACACTTAACAGACTACAGTATTACATAAACATAACTTTTATTTGTACTGGAAAACCAAAAAATTCATGTGACTTGCTTTATTGCAGTATTTACTGTGGTCGTCTGCAACCGGGCCAGCAGTATCTCTGAGGTATGCCTATACTTAATGGCTTACGCAGGGTTTCTCAATCTCAGAATTACGGACATTTTGAGTCAGATTATTTATTCTTTTCTGTAAGGAGTTGTCCAGTGCCTTGTAGAATATTTAGCAGCATCCCTGGCCTCTACCCACTAGAATACTAATACCATTCCCCCTTCCCAGTTGTGACAACCAAATGTCTCCAGACACTGCCAAGTATCCTGTGGCAGGCAAAAATCACAGCTAGTTGAGAATCACTGGCTTAACTGTTTTTCAGAGCAATGCTCTTGGGCTAGAACAGTGCCTGGTACATAGCAGTAACTCAACAAATTATGTGTTGAATAAAGGAATGAATCAATTAATCAAACTTGCAATATTCTATTACTCTCATTATTTATGCAGCTTAATTCCAAATATCTGATTCTTTCAGATCCACTATTAAATGGCTTTCTCTCACTTCTCATATTTTTGCTTCCCCATAACACATGATAACTCACCTTACCTCATGTTTACGTCAAGTTATTTCCCAATACACTATTTCAATTTTTGCCCTCACTGTTAACTGTCTCTATCTCTCCACATTTTATATTTTAAATTTGCCAGGGAAAAATCTGATTAGCCTAGTTATCTTTTTGTACCAAGCCATAATTCACTGATCTTGGTTTAGTTTTCTAGTGTCCACTCAGGTACCCCCAGGGGTTATGGAAAATACAAAATGGGACTATTCATACAGCAAGGGTTAAGAGCAAGACAGTTTCCTTTAAATGGGAGCTTTGGCATGGCAGGTATCTGTATGCTTGGCCAGCCCAATATACCATCAAAGCACGATTTTAAGAAAAGCAGGAACTTCAAAATAAAACATAACAAGAAAATCAAAGGTTCAATTATATTAGCCACCTAAACTTAATTTCATGTCTGAGAGAGTATTCTCCATCACATTTATCCCTCCTTCCCTTGTCCTACACCCGCGTACCATCACTATATAGTGACAGTTCCTTGGAGGACACTGTAAAATTGCATTGCATTTAGTGAAAGTATACTCTTTTATAAACAGCCTCCTCTTTTTTTATTGAGCTATAACTGACATAGAAAATTATATTAGTTTCAGGTGTACAATATGATTTGATACTTGTATATATTGTGAAATGATCACCACAATAAATCTAGTTAACATCCACTACTATAAATAGTTGCAAAAATTCTTTTCTTGTGATGAGAACTGTTAAGACTTACTATCTTAGGTCTTTCAAATATGCAATACAGTGTTATTAACTACAGTAATCAGAAAGCACACTCTCTTGGAAATAATTTTCCAGCAGAGCAGAAAATGTGACTCTATATTACTTATTCAGCAAATACTTGCCATGAACCTATGCCATTTCAAGCACTGTGCTTTCAGCTGGAGCTAAAAACTCAAGTCACAGCCTTGCCCTGAAAAAAATGTAGTCTTTTGAAAAAAATCCCAGATTACTTGGAAAAAAAACGATGTAGTCTTATTACTTGTCAGATAATGACTACACAAGCAAGACTACTTAAAGAAGTATATTATTTTACAGCTTTTGTATATACAACTAAAAAAAAAAATCACTACTACTTGTATATATCTACAAAAGAAAACATGTTGTCAAAGTAAATATGATATATTCTCTTCAAGTTTTATCCTTGAATATTTGTTTGCAATTTGTTCATTCAGTTTTGCTCTACATCTGCCCAGGCTAACATACAATTAGTAGGAAGAATGAGGAAAAAGCTCATGCTTTACATGTTTAACCTAAAATAGTAGCACTTCATATTTCCAGATCAGTATCTTGACCTGATGAGTTTTTTCTCCAGCACTACAAGAACCAGACAGTTCAGACTCATGGCTAAGCTCCCTTCTCTGGTGACCAGCTTGTCAAAGACCAGATGTAAAAGTCTGATAATGATGATTAAGCAAGTTAACATTTACCAAGTGTTTACTACAAGGCATACATTGTTCTAAACGATTTACTTATATTAATTTAATTACTCCTTGCAACATTTCTATGAGATAACTACTATTATTAACCCCATTTTATAGAAAAGTAAAATGGGGCTGAGAGAGGTTAAATGTGGCCCAACATCTCAAAGCTAGTAAGTGGGGAAGTTAGGATTCACACCCAGGCAATCTGGTTCCAGTAATGATGTTCTCATATCACATGATCAGCTTACCAATAAAACAGCCCTGAAAATATCCAGTGACATCTGGCCAATTGAACAAGATGGAGTTCTAGCTTTTGCATTATCGGTGCAAATGTCAACACAGTGAAAGGGGCATTATTAAGAATTATTATTAAAATAGTTTTGAACTCACAGACCCCCCGAAACCTAGTAACAAGAGGACTGCTGATATAGGCTGTCAATGGGATGCTCCAGACAACTTCTCAACTGCCTTTGTGTCCTTCCTATTTTCTGAGCCTATTTCTCCATCCTTCTCATAAATTCTGAGTTATATACATCTTTCTAATGAACCCCTTTCTGCTTAAGTTTTAGCTAGAGCAGCCTTCTCTTTTAGTCAATGGAGAAACTTGGTGCAGGAAGCAAAACTGCAATTCAGAGTTTGGTAGGTCATATCTGTAATCACTCAGCGCCGCTGCTTCTTCTTTGTAGGTTTTTTTTTTCCCCCAGTCTGTTGCCATTTATTCTGAATGAAAATGTCCATCAATACACTGAGGGTTAAGCCTTGCCACAATAAAACCTAATTAACCAGTACCCAAGAAAAAAGAACCTCTGGAATTCCTAAGGCATAAGAAATGATAGCTGCAGGTAATCCTTTGAATAATATGTGTTATCTAAGCTTTGCAAGTCAGGTTATCAATTTTATGCCAGCAAGTGCCAATTTTCACCACCGTGTTCTCCACATACTTAAAGTGCAAAAGGGAGATGGTTTCAATCTCTAGTCTAGATTTACCTTGGCAAACTACAGTATCCAGAAGCAATCTTACATTTCATCACTGTCTCCTGAGACACATGCTCTTTCCAAACTTTCCATGACTTCACAAAACCACCTCAGCGTGGCAAAATACTAAATTTTTTTTTAATCCAACAGCCTTTTTTTTTAAAAGAACATTTTGAAAGTGATGAAAAAGTAATTCAAAGTAATGAGAAATATAGATTTTTGGCTGTGTGGGCCAATATCAAGTGAATTGGTGAATAAAATGTGAAGCAGTCAAGAGATGAAAGCTGTAATGTTTACTCTTTATATTTTCCTCCCTTCTACAGTCTCCTTTACATCAATCTTTCATTGTTATCGTAAAAGAGATGGGTATTAAAAAGTAATGATTACTGTACTACTAGTTCCAATTAAATGTGGTTTTGCAAAAGTCATTTGTTTTACATTTTTCAAGTCATTAGCACAGCCCTAAGAAAAAAAATCTGCCTATTTCTAGTTATATAGTTCATAGAATAAAGTAATGTACAAAACACACAAAATAAAGAGAAAATCCTGCAAAAGACAATAAATGTTAAATAACATGAGGTATCTGCTCATGCTCTTCTCCAGTGGGTAGATATAGATCATTATTTTTCACAAGATGCTTATTCAACCTAAATATATCTGAGTGAATTATATTCTCAAACAAGGAATGAAGTCAGTGGCAGACATATACCTGATATGAATCAATGGAAAGTGACAAGGAAACCATGCTTTTTAAAAAGTTTTCCAAGTGAAGCAGGCCAAAAAATGGCAGAAAATTCACAACGTGCTTAACACAAACATGTCATATTTCATATATGGCTATTTAAAACGATCTATTTTAAGTCACGATTTATAATACATAGAAGAGGCAGAAAGCCAGAGTTTATAGCAGGTGAAGTGCCTTCGAAACTGGTGAACATAAAGGAAAATGTGCAACCATGACTGCATGTTGCTTTCAACCAAAAGCAAGAAACAGCAAAGTAAATTAACATCGTTCCTAGGTGCAAAATAAACCCTGCCTAAAAACAGAATCCTACGTTAGGGATGAGAAATTCTGAAAAATGTAAGGAGACTAAGTTTCAACTGATATTTGTATCTATCTTCTAGCTTGAACATCTTTCTCAAGATCTTGAAGAGTTAAAAGAGGAAAACTGGGGCAACTAAGTAGTTAGAGACCAAGTCCTATTTATCTTTACATTTATTTACTCATTCATTCTACTCATTTAACAAATCTACAATAAGCACCTACTAGATCGAGTCAAGGCGAGGCGCTGGATATATTTGGCATTCAAAAAATATCTGATTAATGAATGGATAAATGAACGAACAAATGAACAAAACATATGAGACCAACAGTAAAGTGAAACACACCCTAGGAAACCTAATGTTATCACAACTACCTGACAGTCAACACTTTGTGGTGTGATCACAGACCACCTGTGCATACTTTTCCTTCAAAGCGGCTCCTCCCAGCTCCTTCTACTGGGACACTCTCCCACGGATCCAGCCGCAACGTAAATCACTGGATGCCAGAGGAAGGCAGCTCTATGATG